ATTTCTTTCAACGATTTTGTGTCTGTTCACAAATCGTATCTAGTCGAAGACATTACCCTTCAAAATTGAAAAAATTTCCCTCGTTCCCCGTAAATGGGGGAAACCTCCAAAAAAATTACAAATTTAAAAATCGTTAATTTTCGAAATTTTTTACTAAAAACTGCCGTAACTTTTTCAACAATGAACATATCAATATATATTTTTTTTTTATAGATGCTTGATGTCTTTACCTATCACTTGGTATATTTTTTTTTGTAAATTTGACCTTTTTTCTGCCCACAGGGGGGATTTAAAATGACAACTTTTTCACAAAAAATTAACTTTTTCAACTTAACTTTTGAAAATGTTCCGAAAATACTGCGTCCTTTAAACATATGTCAAATTAAAGCTTATGTCATGTACTATAAAATTAAAAAAAAAATTTGTCTCGACGACCTATCTCCTATTCGCAAATGGCTACCGTATTCAAAAATATGCTATTTTCGTATTAAAATTCTGGGTTTGTATTTTATTTTATTTTAAAATATCTTATTAGGGGAATTCACTGACTTTCATGAATATTATATAATTTAATTGACATAGAATAAAGTTCATAAGACATAAGAAATTAAACTTATTTTAATTTTTTTTGCTTTTTTAAAGTCGAAAAGTAACTTGTAAATTTGAGTTAATTTAAATAGCTAATTATATCATGCAAAGAAAGTGACGAACAGTTGCCGAATCGGTAACACTTGTGTCCTTCAAGCATAGGGTCCGAGGTTCAAATCAGTCTGTGGCTATTAACATTTTGCATTTTTTTTGAGTTAGAATAAAATTTTCAAATTATTTGATATTTATCTCATTTAGATTCAATATCTTCAATAAATATAAAGGATCCTATCACTATAGTTTCCCCTCGTGAGAAAAAATTTATATTCATGTTATATTATTTTACTATGTAGTTTTTTTTGTGGCTACGATTTATTTTGCCAACCCTCACTAGACCTACTTCTTTCAACTATACGACAAATGATTACATTTCGTATTTAGATTAAGTTATTACTCTTAAAAATCGAAAAAATATTCCTTATTCAAATAAAAAGTAGCTTAACCAGATTTTTCCATACAAACAATTAAAATCATTAATTTCTAATATTTTTAAAGTATTTATTGTCGAATTAGATTTGATATGATAAAAGTATTCAACTACAAAAGTAAATAATTTTACTTTGTCATTTATTAATTTTTTAATTATATTTGTGTGTGCTACTTTTTGAAATTAAATACTATCTACAGATTTGCATTTTTATTATTATTATTATAATTATTATTATTATTATTATTAGATTTGGTATAATAAAACCCAGCACAGTGGGGTCGCGGCATAGTGGAGACGTTGCATAGTTGGGTCCAGTATAGACTTTATCTGACAGTGATTAAAATCACTATCATAAGAAACGCTTCGATGCATTAGTAAAAATTAATTAAGTAAAAAAAATTGAAAAAATTTCGAAAATAAGGGATTTTTAAATTTATAATTTTTTTGGAGATTTCCCCCATATACGGAGATCGATGGATTTTTTTTCAATTTTTGAGGATAATGACTTCAATTAGATACTATTTGTGATAATTTGACGTATCGTTGAAAGAAATCAGTTCGATGAGAGCTGAGAAAAAGCGGTAACAGATACAAAAAAAAAAACACACATCATAGTAAAACCAATACCTTCTCAGCTTCGCATCAAAACTAATAATGGTTACATTTTTTGGGAATTTTTCCAAGATAAGTAAAATATTTCGAAAAACTATAATCCTCTAATATCAACATTATGTTTCAATTACTGATGGCAGAAAATCATGTAGTATTGTAAAAACTTGCTGCTTTTAATAATAAAAATAATAAGGAAAATCAATATTGTTTTATGTTATTTTTCTATAGAAGTTCAAGATCTATTCACAGGCAATAATTAAATATCAGTAGCAAGAGATTGGTTGAATACATTCTATGTAATTATTGATAATAACAAGTAATCTAATCTTTTAATAATTGAGAATCGGTTTGATCTCATTACTTTACTTACTATCGTTTAGATTGTATAAATTTAAATAAAAAAAAATAGTCGTTATACTTACAAAAGCAAAAATTTGTTGGATGTAAAATGAATACATTTGGTTAATATAATTTATTAATAATACAGTTAATTTTCATAAATATACATAAATTTTCATAACTATTTTGAAACGTTCTTTATTTAATACTTCTTTTTCTTGGTATTACGTTGGATTGTTAAAGATCGTTATTTTATAGAAAAGAATAATATATTGTTTAATTTATGTACAAAATATGTTTTTAAAGTAGTTGTGACTATTTGTTTAAATTTATATAATTATTTGTGTCAAAAACAATCGTTTCTTTCAATTGCTTTTGAATACCTGTATTTGCGTACGTTTACCAAGTTTTTAGATATGTACAAATAAAATTTATAGAAAGGAAAACACAATTTAATTATTATATTCGTGCACAATTTATTGATTTTCTTAAGTTAGTGTTTAAATGAAGAATCAATATATTTTTCTTAAGTTATTGACGTAATATTGTAACATTATATTTAGACAAAAAGAATATTGTTGTTAGAAACACCTATTATTAAGGAGATTCTATCAAGCAATATGTGAAAGAAAATTTAGATCTCTACTGAATTTTTATAATTTTGGGTTACTATATTAAAAATAAAAATGATATTATTACCTATAAGACAATGGTTTAATATGGAAATTTGATGTTTCAAGTGAAATTATAGATATTTGAAATTAAAAAACTTCTTAAAAATATGATTTATAAAATAAGATTTATATTGTTCATTAGTGTTCAATTATACTATCAATATAATTTTATGCAAACTCATCTTATTTTAGAATTATTTTTAAAAACTATTTATGAAATGTAAAACTTATTTATATATTATTGGTACTTAAATATACATATATATATATATATATGTATTAACATTCGACAATACTACTTAGTATTAGTATTAATATTTTATAATATTACTTATCCAGGGGCTAATTGAGAGAATGTATTAGAAAAAAATTCAGTCATCATCGCTATGTTTACCGATCCAACCCCTTGAAATATGTTGTGCGCTCAAATAATATAAAGTGCAATTTACACATATTTATACATGTATAGTATTAAGCGTTTAGCCTCAACTACAAATAAATGTAGTTAATTAATAACACTATTAAACCTATGTTCTCACCTGATATTTTACTTTAACAATTAAAAATAAAAAATTTTTATACTTTTTTTTAATCATAATTTATTAAGAAACTATTTGTTATAATTATGTTCTACGTGTCGTATAGAGATCCGCCGTTTTTTAATGATAAATTTCTTATGCCATTACTTAGAATTACAGGAATTAAAAATAGTCTAAACATTATAATAATATTACATAATTAAAACAAGATAAAATGTATATAACACACTCAGAGAACAATAAGTAATACATGGCAGTAAAGACTTATTGTCAAAAATGTACAACCCAAAAATGAGATTACCGATGGTGCTCTTGGGGTACTCTCCCCAACAATGCAATCCATTCATACACTAAAACATATTTGTTTCCTTTTTAAAACAATTAATGCAAAGTTAATAGTACAAAAATCTCAAATATAATTACTTCCTGGTCTATAAACGAATAGATCAAGATATTATAATCATATTATAGTTATAGCAAACATTACAATGTTAAATAAAATATTTTAATTCCCGCTTTAAAAACAATAGACTATATTACACTCCCTTATGTTGAAATAAAAATATGTTCTTATATTAAAAAGTAAATCAAAACCGCTATCAGAGGATGATCAGTAGAAATAAAAAATTTTGATTTTTTAATAGCGCAGTGAACATTAAAGTATGACTATTTTTTATTTAACACAATGAATCGCTCATATTATTCATTAATAATTTAATGTATGTTAATTTAGAATCGTTATTCATTGTTCACAATCACGTTCACTTATTTACAATATATTAACACCAATGTATTTACTTTTTTTTTTTTTTTTTTTTTTTTTTTTTTTTTTTTTTTAAAAAANTTAGTAAGTCACGGTTCCAGTTTCGTTTTAGTCGACGTGTTGGGTTATCCGGTAATGTTAAAGTGTGCATTCTTTTTATTAAAGGGTTTGAGTTTGTGTTTAGTTTGGTGTAAAATCTGTTGTAGTGTAAAGTAGCAAGTTCGTTGACTGTTTGAATGTTAAGGTCCTTGTGTAAGTTGTTGTTTGTCACATACCAGGGTGCTCCGGTAATTAGTCGTAATGTAATATTTTGAAAGGCTTGTAAAGGTCTTATGTTAGATGGCTTTGCTGGTCCCCATATTTGGATTCCATAAGACCATACTGGTCTGATTATTGTCTTATAGATAAGTATTTTTATTCTGAGGGGTAATTTGGATTTAAGCAGTGGGCGAAATAGATGAAGTCTGGTGTTGGCTTTTTTTCTTTTGTCTTTTAAATGAGGACCCCAAGTCAGTCTTTTATCCAATATTATGCCAAGGTACTTAGTTTCGTTTTTAGTGTTAATTACTGTATTGTTAATTTTTATAGGTGGACATTTTTCGCAACGAAGGGCGAATGTTACGTGGCTTGATTTGGTGGCATTAATTTTAATTCTCCAATTTTTAAACCATGTTTCAATAATATTTACATGCGCTTGTAGGTGTTGAGCTGCTTGATAAATATTACTATGCGTGGAGAGTATGGCTGTGTCATCAGCAAATGTAGCAAGAATAGTGTTATCAGTCTGGGGTATGTCCGCAGTAAATATATTATAGAGATCAGGAGACAGGTCGCTTCCTTGGGGTACGCCTGCATGGATTTTATAGTTAGGAGAACTTGCACAATTTTGTCTCACTGTGAACTTTCTATCTTCGAGGTAAGACTTGATTAACAAATATAAAGACGCTGGAAATATATGTTTTAGTTTGAAAAGTAATCCTTCATGCCACACTCTGTCGAAGGCTTGAGCTACATCAAGGAATAGTCCGGTGCAATATTCACGCTTTTCTAATGCTGAGGCTATTGTGTCAGTCAACCTATGAACTTGATGAATCGTAGAGTGTCTTTCACGAAATCCAAATTGAGTGTTTGGAAGAATGTGGTGCTCGTGTAATATTGGTCTGATCCTTTTTAGCAGCAGTTTTTCAAAAAGTTTGCTTAGTGTTGGTAATAGACTGATTGGTCTGTATGACGTAGTCAAGTTTTTTGGTTTCCCTGGTTTTGGAATCAGAATTATTACTGCTATTTTCCAAATTGATGGAAAATAAGAGAGTCGCATCATACTATTATATATGTATGTAAGTAGCATTAAACCTTTTCTTGGTAAGTTCGTCAACACTTTATTTGTGATGAGATCATGCCCAGGAGCTTTTCCTTTTGGTAGTTTTTTAATAGTTGCTTCAATTTCTCCAGGACTAACTGGCTTAAGAGGAAGAGACATAGGTAAAGGGCAATCAAGAAAGTCATTAACAGTATTAATATGATTTGAATCGGGTACAATGTCCTCATGTGGTTTAAATGTATTAAATAGATGTTCGGCAAAAGTTATAGCTTTTTCTTCGTCTGAGATAGCAAGAGCACCGTTTTCTTTTTGAATTGGAGGAATAGTTTCTTTAGTTTGAGTCAGTCGTTTTGTAGCTTTCCATAGTGATTTATCCCCGACATTGAGTGATTGAATGTAATTTTGATATTGGGCTGATTTGAATTTTTGAAGTTGGTTTTTTAGATTATTAGCTAGTTTGTTATAAAGTTGTTTGAACGAGGGGTAACGAGTATTTTGCCAAATGGATCTTATTCTTCTTTTCTCAGTGATAAGAGCTTTTATATGAGTTGGAAGTTCTACTTCATTTCTACTATTACTCTTACTTAACGAGGATGAACTGTTTGCTGAGATCTTAATTAGTGAGACAAAGTCGCGAGCCGCATTTTCAATGTCTTCGTGGGTTTTAAGTGGAATTTTCAAGTTAATATTTTTGTCCAAATTGATTTTGAATTTATCCCAGTTGATAGGTCCTTTAGTAAGGGATGGTCTTGTATTATAGGAGACATCTCCACCAATAGTTAGTATAACGGGTGAATGGTCACTGGTAATGTCACAAATATTTTCTATGCTTGAACTTAGCTGGCTTGGAAAATTTGTTACAAAGAATTCGAGTATATCAGGGTTTCGGTTTGCGTGGGTAGGCCAATAAGTTGGTCCTGTTGGTGAAATAACTGAATAGTGTTTATTATTGATTACTGTAAGCAAATGTTTTCCTCTTTGATTATTACCAAAACAACCCAACCTTGGATGTTTGGAATTAAAGTCCCCTCCCGCTATAAATGAATGACCTAAAGAATTGAAAAATTGGTGGAAGTCATCTTGACGTAAACTATTGTAATTTGGAGGGCAATATACCGCGGATATGGTGATTGGTATACTATTGATTTTTATAGACACACTTGAAGCTTGTATAGATAATTCTTGGTATGGACTTATTTCTTCGTGTTGTATGTTTTTTGAAATGTAAATGGCAGAACCAGCATGAGCAGTGCCATCAGGGTGATTAGTTTTGTATAGTGAGTAGTTATAAATGTTAAAGTAATTGTTGTCAGTAAAATGAGTTTCACTTATCAGTGCTATGTCAATTTTGTTATGGTTAAGTACAGTTTGGAATTCATTTTTATGCTGATAAAGACCATTAGCATTCCAGAGGAGTATTTTGATGTTAGAATTTTTTGATGTAGACATATTAGACATTTTTTAAAATTATTTTATTAATTACAGTGGTTAATAAGGATATTAGAGGGTTTATTAAGGATTTTAAATCAGTTAGGAAAGAGGAAAGTTGTTTGGTGAGTTCGTTGTTGTTAGTATTGGTTGTTTCTATATATTGTGGTTTGTTTGAATTGTGTTGTTGAGTTACTTTTGCGTAAGAATTGCATGTGTTTGGTTCGTATTCGTTAATGTTATCTAATTGGGTGTTACCATTGGGGACCTGTACATTATATAAATATTTATGATTAAAAGGTTGATTGCTTTTTTGAAGTTTTGAACTGGGTGTTTTCCGTTGTTGTTCATTTTTATACACGGGGCAACCTCTATAGTTCGCGGGATGAGCTCCTCCGCATAGTACACATTTGGGTGGTTGGTCTTTAGTTTTTTGACAAACATTTGTCAAATGTGATCCGTCACATTTAACACAGCGAGGTTCATGATTACAATATTTTTTAGTATGGCCAAAATTTTGGC